CAGCCTGGGCAGCAGGGAATTAGGAGAGCAGGGTTTGCAAGGCTGGATTAAGGCGAGTTTATTTGCTTTTAATTCTTTCAGAGGTAGATTTGTCCCTGTTAAACTGTGATGAACTTACTTTTTTGCTGTCAGCAAAGGGCTGATACTCATGCTGATGGAGTGACTCTTGTATTTTTGCTGACCTCTGTTCCATGCTATTCACTGTAGTTTTCATGAATTTTCTGTATGGGCAGCCAAGAAAGTGTCTTGTGTCTGGGGTTATGGGGTGTGTTTGTGTGTGCCTGTCAACTTTTCAGTTACCAAAACCCCCCTTTTCCTGAGTGTTTCAGGATTGTCTGGGGGATGCTAAAGATGACCAGGGCAGCAGTAAAATAATATTTATAGAGTTATGTGTTTGTGGAGGTGACTGTGGTTTTGTAGGTAAATAGTTGCTGGATTATGCAAAATACTGTGTATGTCCATCAAAATCCCCATGTCATGGGGAATGTCTCCCACACAGTTTTGTAGACAGCTTCTTTTTAAGTGGCTGGTGGTAAACCTGTGATGCTACATTAGGACTTTTTATAGCTTGCAAAGGTCTGATTGATTTTTCACATGTTTATTTCCACAGCAATAAGGTTTTACATACTGAGATGTGGGAAGGAAATAAAAAAAAATATTCACAGGATGTTGAATGTGTTTCAAAACCTGAGCCTAAGTGTCTGTCCTTCAAAGGCTCTCAGCCTGGGGGTGGGTAAACTAACCAGATGAGAGATGGAAAGTTTGCATCTTCTCAAGTAAGGGATCGCTTAATTTCCTCAAAGATGAGGTGATTTGAGTGAATCCCTGCTAAACCTGGCTCAGCACGGTGCTGGTGTCACGCCGGCAGCAGAGCTGGGCCGTGCCTTGCTGCTCCATCAGCTCAAACACCAGTTGCTGCAGCACTCCCTGAATTGTCATTTCATGTTATTTCTGTGCTCTGGCAGGGCAGAGATAAGGGGCTAATTGGGTGTGTGGGAGAAAGGATCTGGTGCTGCTCCTGCTGGGCAGCTTCTGCCAGCTCCAGCTGTGCTGCTCTGCACTGTCCACTCAGGCTGGAAACCCTGCAGCAGAATGGAAGAGAGCACCTGATGGGATCCAAGTGACAGCTGTGCCCCAGAGCCCACCCCAGGAATTGTCCTTACAAGTTATATTTCAGAGAGCTGCAAAGCCTTGATGAAGTTTAATGGGCTCTGGGCGGTTCTGTCATTTGCATAGCAGACATGGTTATTGGGGATATTTCCTTCCATATCTCACAGCAGCCTGTTGCAAGACTGGAGTCCAGCCTGGCTCTCTCAGAGCTTCTGAGTAAACAAACAAGCATGCATCCTACTTAAAAAAACCAGACTGGCAATTAAAAAAGACATCTTGCCTTGTGCAAACAGGAAGGGCTGTAAAACACACTTTGCAGGGAGTCTGTGGATATGCATTCAGTCTGGTTTATAATCACAGCACAATGAAATACCCAGAACATAAATAGCAAGAAATCAATTTTCCTTAGAAAAAGTAAAATAAAGAACATTAAATGATCATTTGACTAGATAACTGCAGTTTGCTTGGTGGTATAACTGTCATCTTGCCTGTGCACAATAATGGAATTAATGCAGAGGGGGTATGGTTTAGATGTCTCCTTCTTTACAGTGACAATAACTCCCTTGTTTTCTCTAGTGAGTAGATGTTTATATTCTAATTTTGTCTCTGCGGGCTACACAGAGCCTTAAACTTGCAGAAGGGATTTGTGAGCAGCCTGCTTGTCAGGAACAAATACTAGTCAAAAGAAATGTGTGACTTATTGACCTTGGGTTCACTGAACCTTCATCTTGGTGCTTCCGTACCTCTAAGGAATCAGCTTCTCTGAAAATTAAAGTTCCCAGATTAGAATAGGAGCTTCAACAAAGGACCTGTGTGGCTTTACAAATACACTTCGATTAGAGGACTTTGGAAGAGCTTTGTTAGAAAAGTGGAATTATGAAAAGCAAATGTTTGAGAGGTAAGAAACCAATTGAGGCCAAAGTTGATGAAAACCAGACTGTTGAAAAAATAGAATTTCTTATTTGCATTTTAGCTAAAAATCTCTGCTGATTGTCCTTACCTGTTACTTTTTCATTTGGAGGTACAGGGACAGTGTCTGGCTGCCCTATTTGTCTTGTCAAGATGGTGATGTGTGTGGGGAGAGGTCATGACTTTCAGGAAGACCCTTCCGGTGTGTGCCCAATATTTTTGTGTTAAACAATTCAAATTATTTTGTTGCATCTTCCAAATTTTTATAAGCTTACAGAAATATTTCAAATTCCAACCCTTAATGTCTGTGTTTAGTAACTACAAAGCCATGACATCTTTCTTTTTTTCTTCCTGCTCCTGAAGAAACATCTCAAGAAACCAGCCCAAAGATTTCTATGCAATGTTAGCCTTAACCTGGTGCTCAAACTTTTTGAAGGTTCAGAATTTCTTTCCAAGGCACCAGGATGAGTCTTTATGCTAAGATGAAATTTATAGCAGATTAGTATTTCCTATACAGAACTATGCAGAGGAAGTGCATTCTTCCACTGCAGAATGATGTATTTGTGCACGTGTGACCACGATGTGGAAGTGTTAAATACTTCTGATATGTGTGTACATATCCACAAAACCTGACGGAATGCAATTTAAAAACATATATATAATAAAGTTGCATATGCTTTTCATATGTTGAAGAAACATCTTCTGTGTGGACAGTAGTTAATTTTTGAAAATCAATTTACTACATTGGTTCCAAGGTTTTAACACCTATATATTTTACCTGTTTAATTACAGAGATATTTGTATGATGAAAACTCAGAAAACTGAGAAAACTCGTTTTGCTTACCCCATAATCTGCAGTTTGCTTTGATGATAGTATGTCATAATTCCTCCCGTGTGCCAGTCAAAACAAAGACTTTGCCCTGTACACAAGCAGTTCTTGTTTGGATGGTTTTGTTATTTTGAAATGTGGAGTAGAATCCAAGACAGATTATTTCCCTTCCCACAGTTGAATAAGGATAAGGCTGAAAGTGTGAAGAATCTTTAGGCTTAAAGGAACAGAGGATTCAATCCCCTTAACACAGTGCCACTGTGACACTGGGCTGCATCATTGATAGTTGGAAAGCAAAAGTAGGAGGAAGAAAGCCCTCAAACCCTTTCAAACTGTCAACTTTTTTTGCTGAAAGAGCGTTCTTCAAATGCTGTTACCAGTGAAACTGGATGGGAAAATGTTTCTTTAATATTTTGAAGCTTCTAGAGTTGGATTGCATTTTAGGAGTACTCATCTTATCAAAAATATTTTCATGTTTGTTTTGAACTACCTTACCCCTGGGACTTGAATTAATAGGGTGCTGGGTTTGTCCCATTATCAGGAGTTTGTTGTAATGGTACTGTTGAATTATGTGATTTAAACTGCAGTTGTTGTACTTATGTGCACTCACTGGTATCTTTCTGGCTAGAAGAAAAATTCAATTTTAGTACTGAAACTTTTGAAACTTAGATGGTTGGATAAAACAAAACTCCATGAAATCATAGATCACAAAACCTGACAGAGAATACTGTGAAATGCCATTTCCATGACTTGCTCATGACTCTGGTTCACTGCTGGAGCTGATTACTGCCTGTCTTTATGCTCCTGCTGGAGGATCAGTTGTCTGAGCCTGAGATTATGCTCATGTTTAAAGACAAGCTCAAGGTTTCTGATTTGGGATATCAATTAGAAGGCAAGGAGAAGGGAAACATGTTTAGCTGCAAAGTTGGAGGGCAGCCACTTGCTGTGTGTGTGTTCCCAAAGCACACACACAGCTGGGGAAGGGCTGCCAGATCAGGGATTTCTCCCATGGTCTTTCTCTTCTGCCTCACAGCAGCTTTCCTCAGCCAGCAGTTGAAGGTTCTCTGTCATACCTTGACAGCCAGTGGTTTAATTTGTCCTTTTTTCTCTGGAAAGCAGGAGTGATTTTTATTCTCTGATTTGGTTGAAAAGGCTTCACAGTTTTTGGGATTAGCTATCCCTTTAGTGAGTCTGGTTTTGACTTTACTGAACCCCAACCATCCAATCTCTTGCTTTGCTCTTGAGTTCAGAAATTGCTGAGAATTAATTTTTAGGCTGATCTAGAGTTTTACAGCCTTGTAGTAATCTGAACTGAGATAATCCACTGACTCAAGGAGAAGATAAGAATAGTGGATGGCCTCAGACAGGACACACAGTGAAGCTCCCAGCAAAGTTCCTGGGGTGCCTTGGGAGAGTTGGTGGTGGGCACGCAGAGAAAGCAGCTGCAGTTTGGGCTGCCTGTGCTACCCAGGAACTGCACTGGCTGTGGAACTTATAACCAACCAGGCAGAGGTGAAAAAAGGTCAGGAAGAATCTTGCTGTTCCCAGTGTCTGTCAGTAAGTAATCATGCAGATAAAAATCACACCACACCCTCAGCTCAACAAAAAAATTCTTTATCTATATATCCATATAACATTACAATACAAGCCTCGGGGCATCTCTTGTCCTTATCTAAACAAAAGTCTTCTCTGGAAACCTTAGTCATGCAAGTTATGGCATGAAATCACTCTTTCAGCAGAAAAATGGTAATTTTGCATCTGGAGTCAAAGGAGGACTGGCTTGGTGTACAAAGCTATTATGTTTCTCAGATCCAATCACCCCTAGTAATTCAGGAGCAATGCACAGATCAGCCTGTGAGGGTTTTTATTCAGTGCAGGTATGTATCCCACTGAACTGTACCTGGGTTTTTCTTGGGGTCCTGCTGACATGAGAGCTCTGTGTAGTGTTACCTGCCTTCTCTGTGGAACGCATAACAAAAATTACAGACAAAAGAAATTAAATGTGAACGACCTGGCAAACAGATGCAAACCCACAACACTGGATCACTGTGTCATGAACTAAAGTGAGGAGGGAAAAAAAGGGTTTTTCTAGGGAAAAGCAGGAGTTTGCTTGTTGAATATGATTATCAGCTGCCACTTTTTTGTTTTCCAGATTTGGTGCAGAGTAGCAGATGTACCTTCCCTCTGGTGTGCCGGGTGACTCTTCTGTTTCACGGTCCCAGTTGTCTGTGGGCAAACACACAAATTAAAAAGAGGAGGAGGGGGCTGTGTGCCCTGCTTGGGCAGGCTCTGCACAGCTCTGGGTAGCTGTGGAGGATGCAGGTAGGCAAGCAGATACAGAAATCTCCTGGGAGGCAAATCTGTGTGTGAGAATCCTTTCCCAGACACAGAAACCTCTGTGGGTTCCTCAGTGTGTGCAGCATTAACTTGCACAGTTCACATTGAAAAGGATGTTAAAACAGTTCTTTAAAATAATTACACATAATCATCCTTTTCTCTGTCTTCATGCTTTAAAAATAATTGATTTGCCCTGATTAGTGCAGGTAAGACTCAGAACTGAGCTGAGCCTTCCTTTAGATAATCCTGCTCCCGGGTGGCTGCATTGTTCACCCCAGTCTGTTCCAGAGGCAGCTTAAAGGCTTGGTTTCCCCTTCCTGACACCATTCAAATGAAGCCTGGAGCCTGTCCCCATGTGGGTGGTGGGATGCTGGGCAGGGGGAAGGGGGCTGTGCCTGGGGGAGAGGGAGGAAACCCTCCTGGCTGGCTGGGACAGAGAAGGAAAACAGAGCATGACCTATGGGGCTGCTGTCGTTGTCTGTAATGGCTCTGTTACTTTTTTCCCTTCCTGGTACTTCTGCAGTGTGCATCACTCCGTGAAAAAGATCCTGTAGCATCAGCTCCCTCCCTGCTCCAGACAGATGATAACTGGTAAGCTTTGATTTCTTTCCTTAATTACAGTGTCTCAGTGCAAAACTTCAAGAAGATCTTTAAAATACTGCTGATTATTAAGAACTGCACTCCCTGCTTGCAACGTTATTTCTTGACATTGCTTCTGACTTGCCTTTTTTACTTCTTGGAGACGTGAAAAGCAGGATTTTGTAGTTTTCCTCTTTAGACTTTAAATAATACTGTGTTGCTTTTGCTTTAGTTTTAAATGTTTGCTTTCCCTCTCACTGGAGACCTGGTCTCCCACCCCCTCCTGCAGTCCCCAAATGCAATGGGGGTTTTGAAAGTGCTGTTTGTTCTTCTCACTTCACTGTTTATGAAGCTGGGCAGTGATGCATTCAGATTATCACAGCACGGGTAAAATAATACCCAGTTCTTCACTTACATCCTATTACTGCACCTCAGAGAGCTCTCTCACTTAGATTACTCAGGGGAAAGTCAATGACATACGGTCTTTTGATTTCAAATACAAATTGTTGTGTAGAGATTTAAAAGATACCCTAATTTATTTTGGAATGGCCTGTAATGTGCTGGTGCTGTTCTGATTGTTTTATTAGACTGTGATTTTTCCATCTAGCTTCTATTCCCAAAGCCTACCAAATGATCATGATTTACTTAGGACATCTGTTAAATGCTGGGCTGTCTGGGGAACAAAGCAAGGGAGCTGCAGTCCTGATGGGAATATTGAAGGAAAGCAGTGAAACAGACTGTGATCTCCCAACCATGGGGCAATTTGAGCCAGGCCTTACTGCAGCTCCTCCAGCTCGCATGGCTTTTGCACAGAAATGTGCACATCTCTAGAAATGCTGGGATTAACTGCTGGTAATAAACAGATCTAGCTCAAGACCATCTCAAGGCATTTAGATCTATTGCTTTGATATGTTTTTTTTTCCCCCAACAAGAGCAAATCTGGAGCATAAATAGGAGCACTGACAGGATGCTGGGACCTGTTTGATTCCCCCACCCACAAATGCTGAGACATTTCTGTTCTCAGCTGTCATTATTAGTGTTTTCTCAGTTCTCCTCCCCTCCGCCCCCAGTTGAGACCAGTGCTAAAAAGATTTTTTGATTTTTTGCTAGCAGTTGAAACAAACCCTGCTGCATTTGAGCTTCCTCCTGCAGGACAGATTTACTCTCTGTGGTTCCCCTGTGGTTGCCACATGTTAGTTACATTAAAGGCACTGCTCCCATATCTAATGAAACAGAAATCCATGAGATATATAAAAACATTCTACTATTTTCAAGAACATTTCCTGTTCTTCCTTCTCTCCCCTCAACAATTTCATTAATATGGACTCAGTCTGTTGGAAGGGAGCTTTTTGTTAAAATATATCCACCCTGTTTGGCTGTCAGCAGTTGCAATCACCAGGAGCATGGAGGTGATATTCCTGTTTAAAGAGGAGGGATGGATATTTATCTATGAAATATGAGCCTGTATCTAGGGTTCTTAATGGTTTGATGGCATTGCAGAAAGCACTTTTTTATTGTGAGTCAGTACAAGTTTTACTTGTGCAAAGGTGATTGAAATCTCTACAAAAAGGGATTTTCTGGGTTTGGTACCATAGCCAGAGATAGTGAAATCTGCTCTGTTTGCCTGTTTGTAGCTGATGAACAAACTATAATCTGAATAGGTGCTAGAAAAAATCCTCAAGAAAATTTCTAAGTGTGTTGGAACATCAATCCTCACTAAGTGTTGAAGGAAATTTATAACTTCAGCCACAAAACAAGCAACATTCTCTTGGAGACTTGAAATGGTCTGTGCTTCTGCATTTATAAATTTTATTGTTGTCATAATAGGAAGTTTAAGAGCACACAGGGCAGGAGAAAAAGTTGGTGTGGTTTTGGTTTTTTTTCCTGCTTATGATTTTTCAAGTGGGTGGATCAACCCTGTGTAGGAGGGTTCAAATGACTCTGTGAGCTGGGAACTGGAGCTGGGAGTTCTGTTTCCTTCCAAGTGCTTGAACTCTCCATAGAGTCAGATCATTTTGTATCTGGACTTCAATATAAAGTTTAGTCAGAGATGATGGCAACAGAACTTCAACACGAGTCATATTCTTAGGCCTGCTTCAGAGGGCTCTTCCTTTTGCTGCATTAGTCTGTCTGTAGCTCCCTTGTCTTGCTCTTAGATGTGTTGGTTATTGCTGGTTTAGCTTCTCTCTAAATTAAGTTATTTTTTCTGTGCATTCAGTTCTTGTGGTGGTGGCATTTTCAGCCATTGCAAGGATTTCTGTTACCTCTGCAGGGTAGCTCTGTCTGGTGCCCTGCTCCAGCAGGTTACTGCCAGTCCTGAAGGGAAAACTGGGAGGTTTCCCATGAAGAAGCTGATCTAATTCCTTTGAGCTGGTAAAAGATTTCCGAGCTTTGAAACGCGCCAGACTATTCCCTACAAGTAATTCATGTCAATTCTGTAGCAAGGCAACAATAATTTCAAGAGAGGATGATATCTGTAGGTCTGTGACCCGAGAGAAGCTCTTCCAGTAGTGGCTAGAAGTTTCTATAATGAAATCCCAAACCCTGTGAGAGATCCCAGGCTTTGCTGCCAACCTGAAACCTGAGTTAGGGTTTGGTAGGTCCATGAAACTTTCAAGAGAACTGTGGCCAGTTTTTGATTTCAGCTGAGTTTCCCAGTGGTGCCATAGGTTCATTTAAATGCTGAATATGTGGAAATGAGCTCCTCTCCCTCCATGTGAATGTTAATTTAGTACACTTTGTTTAGCTGCGATGGCAACACAGTTTTTGGAAACGTTCTGTGTGCATTAGTCATCAATATCTGAGCGATGTTTCTATTGTGCTCATCTGCCAATGGTCCTAAAAAGCATCAGCAATTCATCTATTCCAGCTGGGACAAGAAAGCCTGACAAACTGCAGTGCTGCATTGAAAAGCAACTAAAAATGGAATCATAGGGCATGTTTATTGTATTTTCATGACTGCAGCAGTCAGGGACTGATTTTCTAGCATACTGCAGCAGTTGGGATCACCGCTGTGGGCTGTCCTGTTTCATCCCACAGGATAAATCAGCTGCAAGTCTCTGCAGCCCGTGTGGAGCACCCTCCCCATCAGCACCCTCCCCATCAGCACCCTCTGGTTGGTACTGAGGGGGCAGAGAGCTGTGTTTGGGTGCAGCTGCCTGGCACGGTGCTGCTTTTACTTTGCAGCCTGGTGCTAGGGTGGCAATTCCCCATAAAGCTGAAGAGTTAGAGGATTACACTGGGAGGTTCACCTGAGGTCCTGAGCTAGAACCTCATGAACCCAGATTTGACTTCTGCTCTGGGAGCCTTGCCTGACCTTGTGCTCAAAGTGTTACCAGAGGTTTAGTTTCCATCCACAGGGTGAAGATGTTTCTCCATCTGCCTGTTCTTTGTTTCTGTAATTAATTTGATGAGGGAGGATGGGCCTTAATCAATGAAACAAGAGAGGGGTGTCACAAAGCTAACTTTAGCTGACTAGTTTCTTTTAGTGTCTGTATTTAATAGGCTTTTCCAGAGGCTGAATCAGGGCTGCTAAATGGCAAATCCTGCTCTGAATGCCTTGATTAAAGCTGCTCTTTATGAATCTCCCTTTTCCCTTCATACTTACAGCAAATGCCACTTCTGCCTGGGTTGGGAGTGCTATTACATTTTTTGCCATCTGTTTTCAAGGCAGCCACCTCAGAGAGAGGTATATGAGTACCCCACTGCAGCCTGTGCCCTGCCTGGTGCTCCTGTACTGATGCCTGCACTGCTGACACTGGGAACACCTGCTCTCAGATGAGTTGATTTATCTGCAATTTATCAAGAGGAAAACAAGGCATAAGAAAATTCTGCAGAGCAGTGGTGCCCTGTGTCTCCTCCTGGCTGGAAGTGCCCTGCCTGGCTGCTCCATCACATGCTTGTGAGGAGAGGGACTGGGACTGGAAGGCTTTTAAGGTCAGCACCATCTATTCCGAGCAAGAAAAGAAGGTGTGACCTTTTTCAAATGGTAAGCTTTGTCAGTGCTCCCATTGGGATTTTCCCCCAGGTGACTGCTTAAATGTCACTTGTGGTAAGCCAGGGCATTGGAAGCACTGTGAACTTCCCTTTCTCCTTGGAGAGGCAGCACAGGGAGATTCTAATTAGCCACAAAACAGAGAACCTCCTGTGCTTTCCTAAAGCCAAAAACATCAGAGACATGAATAGCAATGTATTTTTCATATCATCTCTGTTTTGTAAAAGCCATACCTCTTGAAAAGATGTCAGTTTCTTTAGCAATGAAAAAACCCTCCTGTATAGCTGCAATTAACACTGCAGCAATAACTCAGTGGCATACATTCCCCGTGTTTATTGATTAGTGAACAAGCCCCCTGGGGTTTACACTGCTTCCAACATATTTGGTTCCAGCTGAATACCTGCAGTGTGCATTGATCTAAGCGTGTGATTTCCCCTAAATATCAGCCATCCTATTGCACCAGCTCTACATGTGCTGGTGTAGCTGCACTAAACAAGTGGCTGAGAATGAAAAATCATGTGAAAAATGAAAGGACATCCATGAGCTCTCACTGTCGCGTAGAGGTTACACCTGCATAACTCACTTGGCTTCAGTAGTGTGATTTCTGATTTGTATTTGGGTGTATAAGAAGAAACTGAAGTCTCTCAGGGGCTATGGCAGCTCAGGGCTTCAGAGAACCGGGTCCATGCTGCAGAGAAGGACCAGACATCAAATGGATGCTCATTTATTTACAGTTCTTGTTTTCTTTGTATGGGCTACAGATCACTGCACAGGCATTTCCAGTATAGGTGTGGCTGCAGTAATTACTGCTTATTCTTTTGAAACCTGTGCTTACAAAACACAGCAGGCTGTGAAAGCAGATGAACATGCTGTCCACAAGGGCCCAGTGTGGCCAGCTGAAGTTCAAAGATGAGGAACAGAGGAATGAGTTGCTTGGCAAGACAAGGGCTTCAGCAAAACCTGTGCCTGGTGGCCCCTGGCAGGGGCAGGTGAGCTCTGGCTGAGCAGGGGCTGTGCTCTGTTGAAAGGATGGGGCAGGTGGCAGAGGGAGGCAAAGGGGACAGATGGAGATGAAGGAGAGGAAGACTGCAGGGAGAGAGTGGTGCTAGTGCTGTAGGAGTAACAGGCTGGGTGTGTTTTAGCTCATCAGCCTCTCATCTATTTTAAAGTTTGAAATAAAGTATGAAATAGCATGTGGCAAGCAGGATGGAGGTACAGACAAGCTTTCAAACCAGCATTTAGGGGCAGGGTAATTTCTGCTTTTCTATTCATAGCTGTGTAGCGGAAAAAGCAGAGGCTGCATGTGCAAGAGTAAGAGCCCAATAAACAAATGAGGCAGCATTAATATCTCAGGAATCGGGAATTTCTTCTTTCAGCTGCATGCAGTGTTGGCTCCTACGAAGTATGAAGATTCCACACACACATCTGGCACAGCCTCTCCCAGGAAGGCTGATGCTGTGAGGGTCTGCATGTGAAGTGGGCTGGTTCTGCTCACGGCAGAGCTGCTCCATCAGGGTGACTGTGCTTGAGCTGCCCTCGCTGTAGCCCCACAGGGATGAGACCTTCACCTCTCAAGTTCACTCCCAAACCTGCTTCTCTGTAGTCTAAGAAGATGTCCCTGTCCCTTTGCTCCTGAGGACATGAGCTCACCATGACTTTCTGCAAAGACCTGAAGAAATGTCCTGTTTCCAAAATGAAGGTTTTTTTTTTAAAAATGTAGCCTTTCTTTATCTTGTGCTACGTTTTAATGAATGCTGCAGCAGCCATAGTGGAGAAAGCTGTGTCAGGACTGCAGATGAGTGTCTGAGGATGTTATTAAAAGGCAGGGCTCAGGCTTTGGTGGCAGGAGGCTTGGCTGCAGAAAGCGAGGAGGGCTTCACCCTGAGCTCACTTAGCCCTGCTCACCCAGAGCAGTCCCAGCTGCTGCTCTGGAGTGTGCAGTAAGAAGCAGTCTCCAAGGTTCATTAGGCCCTCGCCTATTAAGGGCTTTAAAAACTCGGGTCAGGACCTTGAAATGGATCTGCAGGCTGGGACTGAGCAGAGCATGTGCAGTATCTGCAGCAAGGGGAGCGTTTTGGTTCAGCTCCAAGTGGATCGGTGCCTGTGGAACAAACCCACCTGGAATTAATTGAAAGTGCTGGTGGCCACTTTTGGCAGAGAGGCAGGAGCAGGCCTGGAGGCTGGGAACACACTGCCCTCATCCCCCGGGCATGCTGCTGGAGGCTCTCCTGGGAGGTTTGTGCTGACACTTCCCACACTATATGTGCTTTGTGAACTTTCATTTCCAGAGCTGTCAAGGAAAAGTTATTCCCTGTAATAACAGACATGTTTTATTTTCTTGTAGTATGCTTGTGTGTGTTTGTTTTAGATGTAAAGAAGAATTTTTTTGTCACAATGAATATGGTAAAGCACTGGAATACATGGCCCAGATTGGTGGTGGATACCCCATCCATGGAAACATTCAAGGCCGGGTTGGATGGGGCTCTGAGGAACCTGATCTCATTGAGGTCAATGCAAAGGGATTGGACTACGTGATCTCTAAAGGTCTAATCCAACTCAAACTATGCTATGATTTCTTTTCACTCTAACTATGCAGTCCCAACAAGAAGGTACTGCTTAGAATGACAACAGCTTTTTTTAAATATAAACATGCTCTGAGGTACCTCTCTCTCCACAGGCCACGTGCATGGCAGAGTAATTGTGTGGGCTACAGGACTCTACTTGTTAAACCCACAGAGATGAAGCTCACCAGAAAACTGTCTCAGGTTTGGCCAGGTTTTTTAGGTAAATTCCAAATGGAGGATTTATGGGCTTGTGTCTGATGAACAATATTCTTTGTTTCCATTCTATTATGAATATGAAAGAATATCTAGCTGATGAGGCCACTGATATTTTAGTATATGGAACAAAGTAAGGATGCTCTGAGTATTCATAAATAATCAAGGAGAATTATCCAGATGTCCTGTGCCTGTGTCATTTGGGAGGTACAACTAAGTACAGACAATAAAACCAATGCATTCCAGCACTGAGTTTTGTTGGCCTCAGAATCCTGGAGGAGATGAGAGACCTCCTGCTCCAGGAGAGTCACAGCTGGAAACTGAGTGGGACTGTAGCTGCAAGCCTAAAGAGTGTAAGGTGGGGAAAGGATGCTCTGGTCAATGTCTAAGGGGAATTTATCATAACCTGAATTGGAAAAGTAGATTTAAGAATGAGCATTGTGCTGAGATCAAAGTCCTGTTGCATTGTGTGTCTTGGTGAGAGGGAGTGATGTGGCAAAACAGGGTTTATCATGCCAGTGGCAGAAGGAAGCCTCTTGGTTCCATTCATTCTCGTTCATGGGCATGGACAGGCTACTCTGCCCCAGATTTTCAGTCCTTTCATCTACTCTCTCCTCCCAGCAGCTCCTCTGGCTTCCTGCCAGGCTGAGTTGTCCTGCAGGAGAGCTTTGATTAACTGTTCCTCTGTGGAGCTGGGCCTTTCCTCTCTGCCCTGCACTTTTGGCAGCTCTTGCAGAGCACCCCTGGTACCACTGAACTTCCTGAGCAGGACAGAGATCTCCTGCCCCTGGTGCAGCTATTTTTCCCAGTGCTGATGCCCCTATTAGTGCAGGTTTTCCACGTGCAGTTCTGTGGTGTTTGGATGAAATCTGAGGCTGCAGCTCATACATACACAGCACCTGGACTGAATTTCTTCTGCCTCCTTTTCAGCTCATAAGACATAGCTCCAAATGAAATCTCAGAAAACTGAAGTTCCAGCTCCAAAAAATAGGATAATGATTTTTTTTGCTGTTGTGGGGTTTTTTTCCTCCTGTTTTTTGTTGTTCCACACAGGTATGGTGGCTTCCTCCTTGCAGCAAACGAGATAGGGGCTAAGTTCTTCAAGGGGAAATTCCAATTTGGGATAATGCAAATGAAAACACCATGTGTGTCCTTTTTCATTCAAATTACATATAAAAAAATTGGTGATACAAGACATGAGCAAAGGCAGAAAGGAGCCTAGAGTCTTTAATCTTTAAAATCTATTTTACATGATTAAAAGGATCCTGCTTAGAGAAAAGCAAGACTGGCTATTTATATCTCCATTCTTCTCCCCACTGCTCCCCCTCTTTTTCCCAGAAAATACTGCACAGTCTCACATCTGAAAGACCACGGCTGGCTGCCATTAATTTTAATGCTAAATCCTCATCAGCATTTCAAAACATTATGAAAATGTCTAAGAAACTGTCTTCTAGTAGCTTGAAAATATTGCAGGCAGCAGCCTAAATAATATTGTAAGTGCCCTGGTAAGTACAAGAGCACATGCTGGAAAGGAAAAGAGAAAAATAAAAGGCTTTAGACCACCAAGCACACGTCAGCTCTACAAAGCAGGCATAAATGGATTGCAGGATTTCATGGATGCTGAGAGTTTGAATTACTGGCTGAGCTACACCTCACTTACAGAAAATGTGGTTTTCTTTTTTAGAGAACACATCAAATATTGAATGCTAGCTTGCTTGTCCACGGACAAGTACATAAATAACCTTACATGGAGGTTCTGTTTAGGCTGACAAATGCAATTAAAGGAATGGAATATGGCCAGGGCCCCCATATTAGTGCTCTGTTACACTGCATTGGTGAGGATGATGGATGCCAATTAAATTGAAATGAATGGTCATAGGTTAAACAAATGATGACTCTGATCAAAGCACTCCTCCTTCAGCAAGGCATTCAACCTGTCCTGAGCTTAAATACATAGTTTTAAATCCTGCTTAAAATTGAGCTTAGGTAATTTCCTGCTTGGGGAAGGGCTGGACCATGGATTTTTGGGTTATTTTTTTTTTAGTTTGGGATACCCATGCTTACTTAGTCTGTTATGCATATGCCAAATTTCAGGACCTGTTACTGCTGTCTCATGCTCCTTTGTATTTA